GTACCCACGCTAAAGCTGGAATCACAGAAGAGGAGGAACAATCTCTCAGCAGGAAACAACATATCACCAGCAGCTTCTCTCCTTTACTTGTCAGAGGAGGAGGACGACAGCAGTTTCACACCCTACACTGAAATGCCTCAGTTCCCAAAGAGAGACTAAAACTGCCATGTTCTGTGTGAGTCAGAAAGGGTTGGATTCCAGCTCTGAATCAGAAGTCTCCTATCTGGATGGATGGTGTGGCGGGTGCAGAGATCCCACCTCAGGAACACAGCTGGGTATTCGTATCCCTCCACTGTTTCCACCACGTGAGGCGGGCCAGTAGGGGGTGCTCCTGTGTAGAGCCGCCCACCTCCCTGCGCCCGACCACCTTCCAGGCTCCGAATGCCTCCCTAGGGGTGCCTTATGTCCAGCCGACCCCTCTCCCGGAGCACACTCGCTAGTCTGGGGGTAACGTGCCGCCACCACCCCAAGAATGGACTGTCTCGCGGCCCTGTGTCCTTGGGGTAACACAGGCCTAAAGTCCCACGGGTACTCAACCCAGTACAGGCACTTGGGGTACTTCCCCAAGTCCGGGGGCAAAAAGGTATAGTCTCCCTTAGTCCACAGACCTAAGGGGTCTCTTAGGCATAATTTAGACCCACCCCTCAATAAGTCTCCCACACCAGTCAAAAAGGAGAACTTTATTGATTACAGGGGGTAGGGTAAACTAGGGTACAGGATAGAGCAATATCTAGAAATCCTAAAGAGCAAACAGTCTGGCTGTGGTAGCCTTTTGATTACGCATCTGTGATACTTCCAGCTAAATATCTAATCAGATTGAGTAGCTTACTCACAAGCATCTTCCAAAGGCAGGTGAAGTTTCCCTTTGGAGGCAGGCGGTTCCTAGCTCGTGAGTTTGGGGGCAGAGAGCCAGTTTCAGATGTTAAGGCTTCTCTGTCCCCTGCCTGGCTGCTGCGTCACCTCATGGCCGGAGAGGCGAGCTCCTCCTTCCCCCTCCTAACTTACATAGCCCCTGTGACCTCATTCACCTGGGCCAGCGGAGGTCAGCCCCAGTTGGCTGTCAGCCAACCAATCTGAAATGCATCACCTGTTACCGGGCAGATTCCAGCTCCCCAGGTAGAAACCCCTTACCCAGGTAAGTGATGCAAGTCACGTAAGCAGAGGGAGCAGGTTTCCCCCCTCCCTCAAGAATGCAGCCAGCTCAAGTTCCCTAAAGAGACAGGCTGAGGGTGTGGTCCCCTGTGTGCTGGGCCCATCCTAATTGAATGGTCACAGCACAGAGATTTAAATCGCAGTGTCACAGGGCAGATATTTTTGGGAAGAAACCAAGGTGGCTTTCTGCCACAGATGGTCTGTGTCCACTCTTACAGGGTGCAGGTTCTCTCATTTTGTCTGGAGGGAGACTAAGGAGGACACCTCAGGGTTCCAAGACAGTGAGAAAACCTCCCTTTTGGACAGCTCCTCCTTGGGAGACTCCAGATTTCCAACAGAAGGATACGAGCAGTGTAATGTGGATGTGGACAGGTGCCAACAAGAGTCCTTTTTTCAGGTGACTGTGCTGATGGAGGGTCTTCATTTTAATCCTTCCTCTGAGGACCCACATCTCCCCGCAAGGGGCCATCTTTACCCTGACCTGGAGAGGCTTCCCTTTCCTAAACACATTGCTTGCATGAAAGTATGATGGAGGAATGAAGGGACAAGCATTTGTCACCCTGTGCCTATTTGTACATCACTACCCAAACACGGTAGCTTCTACTGATGTATGTCCTATCAGGTACTACTGCTCCAAATGCAAAAAAGGGTGTGCTTTCACTGCAGGTAGCTAGCACCCATTCACCATCCTACTGCAGAAATCCTGTGGCCACAAGGCACTGTGATTTTACTGCATGGCAAATAGGACAAAGTCAAATGTGGGTGGGGTGCATGGTGATGATCTCACGTTTCCCTTTCAGCAAACACTGCAGATGCCTTGCCATCTCATAGGAATTTATGGTTAGATATGGATTGTGTGTTAATTATCTCTCTGTAAAAACACTGGTGTATCAGAAAAAGCAAAGTCTGAAACAACCAGGCCATGCTGACAGGTTTCAGTCACATGTGGTTTGAGACCCAAGCTGGTCCACTACCAGTTGCTCACCTGGGGTTGTGAAATTATTCCTCCTCCTACGTGGCAAAAGTAAAGGATTTAAATTTGGTTCCTTTACAGACTTTTTGCCACCTTTGCTTTTGTGGGATAGGGGGAAAATCATAGTCACCTTATGTCAGAACAGAGGAAAAATCAAGGCCAAAAATATAGGTTATGGGTTTTTTTGTTACTTTTGTCATAGATTCATAGATGTTAGAGGCTGGAAGGGACCTTACAAGATCATTGGGTTCCACCCCCTGCACTTGGTCAGGGAAGACTGCTTTATTTTGGTTTGTATAAAAATATACGTGTTGGAAGTGAAATTCATTTTGCTGAGCAGACCAGCTCAGTGCTGCTATGTATTGATGGACAACTGCATGCTTGCATTTGCCCAGACAGCCCAACTGAGAGCACCTCTACACACCTGGGAAACCTGCTGCCTTAGTTTGAGTGATATTTTAAGTGCTCTGTCTCCTGTCTCTCCTCCCTGAACACTATTTGCTTTCAGTGGCTGCAGTTCCCATGCTGGGTGGGTCTGGAGCCTACCTATCCCTCGGAACAAAGTCAAAGCTTCACCAAACTACATAAGGTTGGGGGGCAGGCAATAGGCCAAGTAGCTGATGGTGAGACCTTGCACTTTTACTTATATTTCCAGGCCAAAGGAACTTGTTGCCATTCTTTTCCAATAAAGGAGATAAGGAAATAAGAAAGAAATGCTGGTAGCACATGTGTAGGATGTGGGAGTTTGGTGGGATTTCATGAGCTGCCTTTGACCCCCCATTTGCAAGGCGGGAAGGACAGCACGGTACTAATGGAGGCCTTTAATGCTCACCTCCTTTTGAGGACTGGGAGATCCAAAGGGCAGATCAGATGATGTGGGAACTGATTAACTGCATGCAAAGCCTTTCATCATCCCATATCACTGTACCTCATGTCTTTTATGACTATAGACAGCAACAACAAGGCTCTGAATGAGATTGGCACTCCAGAGTATTGTTTCACATCAGTCCCAGGGCGGGACTGACACCTGTCCCCAGAGGTCTGTGTGAAGTAAACCAAGAATTTTAATCCAGTTTCTCTAGAGGGGAATCATAGCTCCAGACACCAAACCAAACCATACTTCCTTCCTTCTTTAAATCTGAGGAGAGAGCATGAGATAAAAGGAAATTGCACATGGAAAAAATCCCATTTCTTTATAGAAGGAGTTAAGATTATGGCTGAGTTTTCAGAGGGACTGAGCACCTGCAGCAGAAGCTAAAGGGTGATGTCCATTTCTGAAGTTCAAGCCAGAAGCATGCAATTATTGAGGGAAACTGCATATGCCGTATGTCTGAACTGCCAGTAGCAGGCACTATTTTAGAAGACTGAAGTTTGTGCATGGCATCCTGTAAGATGCCACACAGCCAGCCTTAATAGCATCGCAAACTTTGCCATAAGTTCACTGATATGGAATTGAGACATAACACACCTAAGATCACAGATCTTGCTGTTGCTAAGTTCAGAGAAAAGTGTTCATGCAGGTAGCCCTGTGCAGAGGGGGTGTCAGCTTCTCACTGTGTTTTGATGCAAGCAAAGAGCCTAATTAAGCCAGATGCTTTATTCACATAAAAAATATAACAAATAAAAAATATAATCAAATGTGCACTGTCTGGTGCACTCCCCAGCATCAGTGTGCTGGGAGACAGGGAGGGAGGCCCTGAGCAGGTTGCTTTGCCCCAGGCCGTGGGCCGAAGAAATGACAAAGAAAAACTCGGCTCGCAGTGGCAAAACTGGAAATCCCCCAGTAGTGGTACTTCTGGTTTTGGTTTTGCTTTTGCTGTGTCCCTCAGATGCTGTTTAGTAGAGTTTTCTGTCTAATAAAGTGCCTGTTAGCACAGCTCTTGCTGTATTTTACTTGGTCTTGCATTTCCTCCAGTGTACGCAGGCACACACTGCACCTAATCACACCTATTCATTTAGCAAGTACATGCAACCATTCTTGTATCATCAGGAAAAGCTCCCTCCTCCTCCACAAATTACAGGCATTTCAGGAAAAGCAAGAGTGAACCCTCTGCAGTGAGAGTTTGACACATCAGAGGTCTCTGAAAAGGAACTCAAGAGGTCTTGGTTCAGTTCCCTGCACCAGCACATGTCTTCTGGACCTATCAGTTACTCTCTCTTTGCCTCACTATCCTCATCTGCTAATTGAGAATAGTGGTCATAGTCAGTCTTACAGGGATTGTGTATGAGTTAAATAACTAATGTTTAGGGGATATGGCAGTGACATGGGAGGGAAACGAGTACCTTTATATAAAGATTTTCTACCACATGAGACATTTGTGTGAGATTCCCATGGAGCCAAATTTTAAAGTCCTGAATCATCAACTTCTTGAATAGCTTTCATGGCAGCTATCCACCCCACACCCACCACTGGGGGCACTGGATGGAGAGGGGGGGTGGGACCTCCATGTAGACAGGCCCAAGAGCCATGTGGACAGGGTGCATTTGGTGGGCTGGATGGACAAGAAGGCTGCAACCCAGTTCTGTAACATTTGAGGGCTTCAGCAAGCCCTTTTGGATGACAAGATGAAAAAAACAAAAGAGGCCAAGCAACTAGGAAGTGACAGGAAGCTTTTCCTGGTTCCTACCTGTTTTTATTTCTCACAGATTCAACCATGGGCAGATTTAAATAGTTAATCAGTGTTGGAAAGTACTGCGCATCCAAAGAAGATAGGAAACTCCAAGGTGATCTGAGGGACTAAGATATTCTACATCAAAACAAATTAAGCCTCCTCTGAGGATACTTATATCTGGAGCCTTATGCAGCCCTGTGAAAGCTTACATGATACACAGCCCCTCATTGGTTAGCAGCCACCTATGAGGCAGGGATTGGTCACCTAGTTGTCATAGTGATGCTTACATCACAAAGGCTGTTGGCTCACCTCTTTCTTGGGTTCTGGACCTGGCGGCTTGAGTGGCTCCAGACACTTCCATGATAGGAGCTGCTCAGCGCATGAGAGAAAGAAAGCTTGTTTAAGCCAACTTTGAACAATGGAAGTCATCGACCTGAAACTACCCAGCAGAGGTAAGATCCCCATGATGTTCTCCATGCCTAATCTCTAGTCTCACACCTATTCTTGGAAGCACAAGGAATAAGTGGATTAGCTAAAATCAGGTTTTCTAGAGCCAGATTTTCAGTTGTGCAAACCAGTGTTACTTGGTGGCCTGGACTGTAGCTTGGGTGATTGATACCAGGTCAGGATCAAGACTCAGCCTCTGAACACTGACATGCTTCTGTTCATTGGAGACTGTGTTAGATATTCAGGGAAAGGCCTCCTTCCATTCCTCAAGCTCTTTCTGACCCTGTCCCCCTTGCAGCCAGGTGGATGGTGTGAGGTGTTTCTGTATACATTACTGTGGCAGGGCACTGTGTGTGCCTGCCACTTTAAGGGCCTGGAGCTGGCAGCCCTCAGGTGCCTAATGAGGGCAGCCATTTTAGATTCAGGGCTGCCCATATAAACAAGGCAGTTCAAGGAGAAAAGGGCCATAAACTCAGGCCTGTTGGAGTTTCCCCTGACTGGCCCATGCTGGGGCCAGGACCGGAATGGTCGAAGGGCCAGGGGCCCACCATGAGGGATGCCCAAGAGCTGAGGGCCTGGGGTCCCGACTAGCCTGGAGGTGGGCCAGGGCTAGAGGAGCCGAAGGTCTCGGTGGGGGGGAACACACATGAAGGGAAACCAGTTTCAGGGAGCTATGTTGCTCGGTATTACGGCGGAAGAGTCTGACTGAAGGGAGGAATCCAGGTGGGGTTCAATAGTAGGGTACTGAGGCCCAGTGTGTGGGGTGGGCAGTGATAGTGAGAACATTGTGATGCCATCTGTGAGGCTTGGGCTGTGGTGTAAGGGAGGAAAGGAGCTGCAGATAGTGCCCCCTAGCATCAGGGCAGAAAATGGGGAGCCTCCCGCTTAATTAACATCCATTAATGAATTAATTAACATCAAGGCGTGGTGTGGGAGAAGGCAGGCTGTTAGCCCAGGAACAGGTGGGTGGGCCACATGGAGATCGGCCCCGAGCAGGCCTCCTGTTACAATTACCTAAGCTTAAGCACTAGATGTGCTGGTTCATGTTCTAATTAGAACATGTTGGAGCAGGGTCAAGGAATCAAGTCTGCTCCACATCCTAATTAAAACACTCCAGCATTGACTCTCTGTCATATGTAATGAGCCCTCTCTCCCCCTGCATTTTGAAATGGCTGTGAGGGTGCTTTAACTAAAGCTCATTGAATAAGCTTTAGGTAAAGTGCTCCAATGGCCATTTTAAAAGGTGGGGTGCCTAATACATGTGATGGTGAGCCATTTTAATTGGAGTGGCTGTTGGGGAACCACTCTAATTTAAACAGCCCCTTCCCACCCCGGTATGTATATAGGGGGCCTAGCTTTCAAAAACTTTGGCCCTAAACTGTAATTTTAGGTGTGTAATCCCAATTCTCCAGCTAATTGTCAAGGAGAAAAGAATTGTTATTGTCTACATGACTTTCTTATTTTCCTGAAAACAAATGTCACAGTAACCTCTGCTTCCACCTGGCTGGGCTATTTTGCAAGCAAATCTTCTAGCATTACAGAGCAGGAGAAAGGGATAAATGCATCTTCTTCTCCCTGACCAGGTCCACCTTCACCCCTTTGGCTTGTATAGCTGTGGCCATTGTACATGGGACTGTTGATTATAGATTTTTACCTTCTGATGCTGGCCAACACCAGAGTATCATCTCCATCCTGACAAGGAAAGGCTTTTTTGGTAGAACTAAATTGCACTAAGGAAAGTGCCTCTTTGGCAGTACCAGATGCCTCAGGCCAGGAGGGTGGCCTAGAGAGCTCTCCCATTGTTGCTGTGCTAGGAAACCTTTCCTTTGTAGCCAGGCCACAGGGTTTGGCTCCAACAAAGCTGCTAGTGGATGGTGATAAATGAGACCAATGTGATTTCTTACACAGAAATCAATAAAATCCTTTTACTCCATTGCAGGTTTTTCCACCAGTGAAGCCTCTGCAGAGAGATGCCTGATGGACCAAGCTCAGGGCAATCTTGGCCAGGGTTTGGCTAGGCAGACATGAAGCCTGACATTACTGTGAGCCTTCTGCTGGAGAAACTCCAACAGGAGGAGGTAGGGTGATGGCTCTGTATCACATGGCTGCTCTAAGCATTTCCTTCCAAGGCAGTGCAGGGTGAAACACCAACTAAATATGGTCCTTGCCTATTTGCTGTGTCTTTTCCATTCATCCTCTCCTATTAAAGGTCACAATACAGCATGCCCTTGTTATATTGTGATGTCACTGTGATATCAGGGCATGCTCACATGGGCATCATCTCTCCCTCCCCAGTGGAGGGGAGATATGGTATAAGCCATGTTCAAACAAGCCCTCACCCTGTGGATAGTGCTGTGAGCCTCTTTAGTGTCTTCCTCCAAGTTTCTCACAGCACTGAGATATGAAATATAGTTTCCCAGCAGCCTTGTGAGCCTGGAAAGCCTTAGCTTTGTGGCCCAGGGAGTGAAGTGACTTACCCATTGTCCCTCAGCAAGTCAGGAAAAGAACTGGGAATACAGCCAAGGGTGCTGAGTCTCTGTCTAGACCCTTGGCAATATTCTTTCCTCACCCAATTTGCTGTCATCCAAGTATAGTGCCACTGGGTTAAGGGAACCTGGTTCACAAATATTTCAACACCTTTCTTCATTCAGTAACAGAACCAATCACACAATGTTTTTGGCAGCATCTTGCCTGGGAAACTCCTGCTAAATTTGCTGCTCAAGATCACCTGGCAGCTCCTTGTTACTCCCCCGGTAACCCCGTCTCTGAAGGAAACATGTCAGTCACTCCTACCTCCCCAGTGCACTGGGTTGACAGTGCTTGTGATGCATCTAACTGCTTTTCTGATCATATTTCTGTGTCTCCCACCATTCTGTTACATTGTGCCCTCACAGTGCCTGACAATCCTCCCTTGTTAGTGCCATCTGTGAACATCTGCATGAAAGGACAAACCCAAGACACTATGGGTTGTGTTTCTGTCCAGGGAGCAAGTTCTCCCTCAGAGTGACTGTAGAACAATCCCTGGGTAGCTGATGTCCAACATCACAGTCTTGGATGATCTGGCATTGGTCCCAAAGGAAACCCATTGTTCTCTTTCTTGGTGTGTTCCCAGGGGACAAAAGTAACCATTTACTCCAGCCTGAAGAAAGTCTTGCAGGGGGACACACAGGGCCTGGATAGGAGCCCTGTCAGGAGGATCATCCACTTGGCCTCCAAAGACATGAGGGAGACCCACGTGGGTTAGCTCTGCCCAGTTTCTTCACAAAAACCTTAGTGTATGCCCAGTTTGTTTGGTCCAATGTAGTTTGAGCCTATGGTGTATCTCCTGCATGGGCCCTGGTTAGAGGCTGCAGCCTTGTCAAGACAGATCTCCTCCAGATGTTTCTGGAGAGCACAAACATGATCCACCCCAGTGTTGAGCTCCTCTGAAACATGGGGCAGCTCCTCTGCTAAGAAAGACCATAGCTCATAGGTGCTTTGCTGGGCATAGCATTATCCTAGAAGTTTCCTGGTCCATGCTGAAGCTGTCCTACAGCCCAGGTGAATTCTGCACTTGGCCAGCCAACCAGAGCCAAAATATTGTTCATTTAAGTGTTTCAGTCAGCATTTATGAGTGAGGGATCTCATGCAAGGAATTATTAGGGGGACTTGGTGAATTCAGAAACCGGTATTACAGTGTCTAGTTGGTAGGTGGTGGGGGAGACATTTTGCTTGAATGCAAGGGTTAGCCAAGGATGCAGTGGACTTAAGGGAGAGGCCAAACACTGGGCCACAGGAGAAGCTGAAGCTAGTGCATCATTCTCTCTCCCTTTCAGAGGAGGCAACTTTATCCCTAGCCTGATTTACCACTGTATAAACTGTGCATTGGGCATCTGCTCCAGTTTTCTCTTTTTTATTCATTGTCATGACCACCAGGCCTGCATGTCCTGGAGCTACAGCAGCACCTCCTCACTCCAATGTTCCTGTGCAAACGTCTTGTCTTTTCTCCTCCTCTGCAGTTGTGGGAGGCTTTGCCCAGGCTGCCAACATGAAATTCCAGATCAGGGATGAGAGCCCGTTCCCCAGCTGTCGGGCAGTTGACTACTGTTTTCATGTGCTCCCTTTTTTTAACTTAATGAGCAGCGGCTGGCTGAGAAGCGAGGACCTGGAGATGTGAGCTGCTGTCTTTCTAGCTCTACAGCACAGCTGTCACATGTCACTATGTCTGCCTGTCTGGGCAGTTCAGCTGGGAAGACCCAGTCTCAGGGGCTCATAACACGTGCCTAAGAATCTGCTCTGCCCACAGGCAGTGTGCAGTTGTGTGCGCTAATGGGTGTCAATGAGTACTGGGATACAGGGCAGCTCCTTCTGGGCATGACACCTTTGGTGCCCAGGGGGATGGCAGCAAGGAGGAGTTCACTCTCTGCACATGAATCTGGGCACATCAGCACAGTGAAAGGTGTGATCCATGAGCCATCCCAGGGCCATATCCCATGGCCCCTCCCAGCTGCTGTAGTTGGGAATCACGCAGACTTGGTCCAATGATGGACCAAGTAAGCTGCTGAACTGAGAAGGAGAAAAGCTGTGCCTCTTCCTGATCCAGAGCAACCTCCCAGAAAGTCTGTCAGAGGGACTCAGTCCTGCCTTCCCTCTCTGCAGCTGCAGCAGTCTGTGGTCCAGGTGCTGGGACCCATGATGGGTCTCCTTGTCCACCATGAGAGACATCGTTTTTGAGAGGCTCCCGTCTCCTGCAGCAATATGAAGGAGGGGTCAACAATCTTCATGTCACCATAGTGAGACACCACCTAGGAAACCAGCATTGGCTCTTGTCTGTATGCATGGATGTGCACACTGGCATGTTTGTGCATATACGACTTGCCCTAGGAACTCCATAGCTCTCTTGGGGCTTTCCTGGTGTAGTTCAAAGTTCAAGACTCCTTAACGGATCAGACTCACCTACCACTGGGGGCTGTGTTGGGAATGCCGCTTCTATTTTCTGGGAAGTCTGATAAGAGGAGACAAAAGAAATGAACTACTGGATTGCTCCTTCCAGCTGAGTTTTGCTCTGCTCCCTCTGAGCTTGGCCTCTCAAAGCTCCATGGGGTAGGGAGGATCGGAGGTTGTGTCTTGTGGAGTGCAGAGATTATGGTCAGGGCCTGGCAGTTTAAAACATGGAGATTTGGGGCTCCCTGCTATGTGTTTGTCTTTGTTTGCACCTGGGTAGCCCCTGAGGCAGCAGAGGTTTACCCAAGGGGAGAATCCCACTTCAGCTCTGTGCTTCCCTCTCCTGTGACCCTGGGGCTGTGGCTGGTTGGTCCTGACTCTGCGGTCACTTTTGGGGCCTACAACACCCATGGGCTATGGGACCCACTTTCCTCCTGGCATCCTTTGGAAGGAATATAAATCTCCAGAGTGGTAATGTGGGTGGGGTGTATTCAGGGTACTGGGCAGGGGCTCAAACAGCACAGTGTGGCATGGTCAGAGCTGCAGACATGGAAACTGCCAGCACCCAAGTAGTAAAACACCAAGCATGGGGCAGTGAGGTATTTTTTCTCACTCACTAATTTTCTGCTCTTGCTCACTCCATGGTTCTCCTCTGTAACCCTCCCTTTGACTTTCACTTTCTGTTGTAGAGTCTGAGCCAGATCTTGGAGGTGGCCTATGATTTTCAGGTCCCTCTCCCCAGTGGGAAACTCAAAAGCATCTGCTTTGCCCTGCACACCTAGGTAAAGGGAGGTCACTCCTGTGCTACTCGTCTTAAGGCCCAGGAGGTCCAAGTCCCATTAGCCAGACAGACCCAGTTTGTGGCGGTGCAAAGCCCCACTCTGCTGGCAACCTCTCTGCTTGCCCAAGAAGAAAAAAACAGGTGGTGGTCTCCTTGTCTCCCCTCAGTTCATCTCAACTGCTGGGGAGGTCCATGCAAATTCTTTTGCCATAGCGAGTCAGGACCAGAACAATCAACCCTGTGGTGTGAGTCCAGCCAAGAACAGCTGTGCTGTTAAAGAGACTTGGAAATCAGGATCCCCTCTTATTTATGGTCTGGACCTTTGAGTTCCTGGCTCTTGCTGTGATTGCAGTGATGTCTCCTGGGACTCAAAAAGACTCTGGTTCAACTCATAATCAGTGGGAGTTCAGGATCTATTCCACACTTTCATCTGCACTCAGATGGAATTGCGGAGAATCCCTTCCCTTCTTCCCACAGGTATGTGATATTGCACAACTGCCGAGATCACAGAACCAGGTCAAGGTGTTCAACTGTCTCCTTCTGCTCGGTAAGGAGAGGAGACTCCAAGTGACATAGGGGGTTCCTTCGAACCTCGCTGCACTGTGCCAAACCTGGAAGGGGGAATGAAAATGAGGAGTGCTGAGGTCACTGAAGTTCTACTCTGTTCCCTGCAGTCTGTATCTCCCCAGACCAATTGATTTTCCTTGTGGGCTCCCAGCTCAAGACCAACAAGGAGGCAAGCCATGTGGTGTCCCTCTCAATCTTTAGTGGCATCTTTGCTGCTGACTAAATATGACCAGAGCAAGCGTGTTGACTGCCATCTTGCCTGACCCTTCAGGAGCTGAGTTAGGACTGTCCAGAATGAATAACCTGTCCTGCTCTAGCTGCACTCAACAGCTCTGGCTGTGTAGAGCTAGACCCAAACCACCTCTGCTGGTTGGTCACAAAGGGCCAGTAGCACCCTGAGTCCTGCTGGATGACACAGGAATGCTGAGGCCAAATCCTGTTCAGACATCTTTCCTGGCAGCCCTCTGATGTCAAGAGGTTTAACAAGACCTTTGTTATGGCCCCAGAGACTTTCCCAGGTTACAAATGGGTCTTTTGCAATCTGGATGCATCTTGCTGTGGAGGATGAGCTCCCAGAACACAGCAATATTGTACCCTCCTTCTCCTTCCAGTGCCAGAGATGACCAAGAAAAAATGTGAGCTAGTCAAGGCCATGAGGTGCATGCTTGGTAATCAGAGTACTCAGGTGAGGTGATTTGTGAGTAGTGGCTGTGCTGGGGATGGCACATGGACCTGACACAAAATTCCCACCTGAGATTCTTGGTTCTCTTGTAGAGAAAACCTTTCCTCCTGTCAGTGTTTTCAGGGAAGGCAGTCTGCCCCTCTGCTTCCAGAGCTGGGGATACTCAGGATCTAGGGAAGTGTTATCAGATTGCTAGTGGGGAGGGATCTGCTTTCCTTCAGATGCCAATTTGGGACTACTGAGTAGTAAGGACACATTGTATTCTTGCCTCTTTATAAACCCTAGAAATAAAATTGGAGGGCTGGGGACCCTTCTCCCTCCCTGTTATCCTTTCCAAGGTTTGAGGGATGGTTTGTGCCATGGCTGGTCCCTACCACCATTTGGGTATAAGGGCAGTCCTGACTCCAGTCTGTCCTCTCCTCCCCTCCAGGTGAAGAAGGCCATCCTCCATTTCAGCAGGACACTGCTCAACGTGTAGGGCCTGGATGACTGGGCCTGGGACTTAGTGGACTATATTTTCAAACAGTCCAGCTTGTCTAGCAGCCAAATGGTAAGAGAAATTGAGGCTGGAGACTTGGTCCTACAGTCCTAGTAGGCTTCAGCATGACACCCGCTTGAGCAAGAGCATGGGGTGCCTCAGGGCAGCCAGGCTGAGTCATTAAAACCAGGGTCAGACCATTTCCACTGGTACAGATCTAAGGGAGCTCTCATGACATTAGTGAAGCTACTCTGGATTTTTCCCAGGGTGTCAGCAAGACTAGACTCTGAACTGGACTATGTATATTTTCTGATGAGGCTGAGATTTGCCTCTTCAGGCACTGAGGAGTGAAAACCTGACCACACAGTCTGTCAAGGAAACTTCCTTGAGAACAGCAATTTTGTCTTGTAGAAATAGAGTCTCAAGAATGTGTCTTGGTCCTCAGGATATAGCTTGGGCCATTGATAGAATCACAATTATGAGATGCAGAGGATTGAGCTGGCTGAGCCTCTGGAGAAGATGGAGCAGATTGGGTGTGTGATGCCTGCACATTTGTGTTCACTGGGCTGAATCTGAAGGGTTCTCTTGGAAGGATGAGGGAAGTGAGAACTTGGCAGTTTTCAAGACATAACATACTCCCAGGCCCCAGAAACACTTTGTGTCTAGTGGGTAGTTGCACAGTGCTTGAGATGTTTCTGAACTGGGAACCTGCCCCACAAGCTTGGTTTTTCCTTTATCTCAGCTCCAGTGAGTTGTGCTCTGATAAGAACATAAAATCAGTTGTAACTGTGCAACATTCAAGCTGGCTGCAAAGGAGATGGAGACTGAGTGTCCTGTCAGTGCCTCTTGACTAGCTCATGATCTTTCCCTCTGTCTCCTGTGCAAAAGTCCAAAAACTGTTCCAGTCCAGATGCTGAGAAGGAACAGAGCATCTGAGCCACCTGTGTGGAACATCTGGATGTCTTAATCAGTGGCATGAGCCAAGTAGGTAACCAGTTGCTGCCCTTGCATTATCAATGCATTTCTCTTCATCCCTTGTACCTCTCCACTGGGAAATTCTCTGCTTTGTCATGGTAATGGAGATAGATCATGGCCAACGCTAACTGTGAATTATGGAGCAAGGTGCTGCCATTTAAGGAATGACATACAACATCCCAACTGGAAGGAATCCCTGTGCTGAGATGGCCTCCTCATTCTCTCGCCTTGCTCTGCTCAGTCTTCTCTGAAATTGAGACTTGTTTGGCCTGTGTTAGAACAGGGTTTCAGAGATCAGCTATTTCTGAGAGACAAGAAGTCAAGCAGGTGGGTCATTGGTGAAGAAGAGGAGACTACCCTTAAGGACTGGATGAAGAGAGCTGGGTGCAGGGGTACAAGTAGCTGTCCGGTTCATCTCTCCAGGTCTTATGGCCCAGGCTTCTGGAGTACATAGTGCCAGCTCAGTACAGCTGCACTCTGACCCCTCTGTGCTGATGCCTTGGGGACCTGGCCAAGCAACCGTAGTGGGAGGGAGAAGAAGCAGCTTGCATGGACCCCAGCAAAAGAGGTTTGGAATCCAGATCCCTGTGGGATGAACCAGCTCCAACTGCCTCTTAGAAAATCTTCAGCCTCTTCCATCCATAATGAGAAGGCCAAAGGCAGGAGGGACAATTAGGTCATTATAACCTGGGAGGGGGAGCCAGACAATGTGGGCTCCTCCAACCCAGAGCTGCCCCAGATTTATGCTGTGCCATAGGGAAATCCCAAGGCCTTTTTGCTGCAGCTTTCCCAATCATCCAGTGATGACTGAGCAGTGCCTGTCTCACAGAGGGGCTGGGAGTGAAAGCTCCTTGGTAAAGCTCATTGAGATCCAGACATGGAAGGTGCCATAAAAGTTCCAGCTGTGTCCAGCTTCCAGAGTGTACGTGGGTGGTGCATTTGGAATGGACAGGCTTGCAGCAGCATCAGGCATCAGCCCTGTTACAAAGTAAACACACATGGACATGCTCTCTTTCTCTTTCCAGCCAAACTTTCTAAGGCCCAGGGGATGCTGGTGTGACTTCTGGTGAGTAGCCTTGGAAAGGTTCCTGCCAGAGGTGTGGGGAGGGCCAGTGGTGTGGGGGACATGTGCCTGTAGCCTTAGCTGGAGGAACATGCTCTGTTTTTTTCCACACTCAGATCTGCCCTGTGTTGGCAGAGTTCCCTTCCTTTTGCAGAGCAGAGCCAGGCTCTGCCCCTGCCTCACAACCTCCTGAGGGGCCTTCAGGATCAGCCAAGCACAGCACATCAGCCTGTGTCTGATTGCTGAATGCTCTGGCTATGTATGGTGGAGGCCAGTTTCCCTCCTAAAAAAAGCCATGGAGCCCCACTCCAGAGCTGAGTCCCTGTTTCTCCCTTGATGATAGGTGGTTGCTCAGCCTTAGGGGCCAGCAGCTGCACACATTCTGCCCTGTGGGGACTGTTGGCTCAGCACTGCATGATCCACCCTGCTGTTGAAGAGCAGTGGAAGATCAAGATTCCCATCCTGCTCATGATCATTGAAGGCAACAAGCAAGGAAGGAGCACAGTGATCTCTGCGAACAGAAGGGAAGGGGGAAGGTTGCAGCCTCCTGGAGCCCTCCATGGTACCATTCCCCTTCTGCAGCATCACATGCTTGAGAGCTTCTACTCTTTTTCACAGGGGGAAAATCCAGGAGTTTGACAACATTGAGGCTGATGGGACCCAGGGTAGGGTTTGCCCATGAAGGGCTTCACCAGAGCAACCACTGTCCTGCATTTCCCTTCATGCTTGGGAGATTTCTGTTGCTAGAGGACAACTCTGTGCACTTTGCTCTTCTACAAAGCCCAGTCTTGTACTGTGCTATGCTGATGACACCTGTGAGGTGCTGAGCACCATCCATTCCCCTTATGACCAGTTCTGCAGTGACTGGTTGTGCACAACTTCCAGATATGCCAGCATGATATGTACTGGAGTGCAAGGCCTGTGACCTTGGGATCCCAGAAGGTGACTGGGTGCAGATGCAGGAGCTTCCAAAGAGCTGATGCCCAGGGAGGCAGATGGGACTTTTTTTCAATGCCTATGGCAATGACTTCCTTCTTGTTTTCCTTCCACTTTCAGGAAATCTTGAGACATACCAGGACAATGTGTGGTGGGAGCACCTGCTGCTGAAGGTACAGGATGGCTCTCAGAGCTGTTGTTGCAGCCAGCCAAGCTGGGTAGGGTTGTCTGAGAAGGGAGGGTTCCTTCATGCCTCAGGCAAATGAGTTGATGAAAGTCAATAACCCAGCAAGAGTCCAACTTGGAAGGCTTACCAGTCTCCTTGAGTTTGGATTGACATCCAGAGTTGTCCATTTGGAATCATCCAGCCTTTCCATACAGTCTTTGAGCTCAAGAAATGGAAGGAGATGAGGCCTTGCTTGAGGGCTTCTGCAATTCTCAAGTCCTATCACAATGCAAGCCCAACACAACAAAGAGCTGAAGTCCCTGGCAGTTG